GAGAGAGAGAGAGAGAGAGAGAGAGAGAGAGAGAGAAAGAGGAGAGAGGAGAAAAGGCGGGAAACTGAGAAGGAGAGGGAAGGAGGACCGATGGCGGGACGATATCAGAGATGGACGAAAAGACCGCAGATACAGAGGTGCCGTAAGGGGCGAGGAAAAGGCACTCCAACGAGATGTCAGAATACTTCGGCCGGAAAAGAGGTTGAGAAAACCCGCGTTCCCGGTCTAAATACTAGTTCAGCGAACATCCTGCTAGCAGACTAGTACGCTCCCGGTAATGTTGGAACCTGGGTCACTCGTTGCGATAAAATGGGTAACTGAAACCCCAAAACCAAAAAGGCTCCTGCCGCCTCTAGTCAAGGAGTGAAAAAATAGAGGCCCACGGGTCCCAAATCTTGTTGTGATTGTCTGAGAATTTTGAAAGGGAATTCGAGAAGAAATGCTTAGGAAACCCCTTGAAGCGAACAAGAGGAAATATTATAAAAGTAAACAAGAGGAAATATTATAAACAAGAGGAAATATTATAAAAGAAGAAAAACAAAAAAAATAAACCAAAAAAACAAGAAGAAGAACGAAACCTGTGAAACTTTAAATGAAGAAAGATACACACAAACATCATCGGCACGAAATCGAAGTCCTAGTCTACGGCGCATCGCACTGCCCGTCGTCTGTGTCATCATCGTCGATGATGTGCTCTCGCCGCCTTTGCGGCACCTTCGCCACCGTCTCCTCTCCGTCCCCTGGATGCTGTGACACAGACACGACATGACTGGCAACTGCTCTGGCTGCCACCATCTCTGCCTCCTGGACCTCCGCCTCTCTCTCAACACCCCCTCCAGCAGAACGTCCCAAAACGCCAGTCAGAGTCGTGTATGGCTTCCTACCCCTAGGCATGGGCACCCCATCCGTCGCGGAATCCTCCGTGCGGCCCCCAGCAGCTCGACGACTGCCCGGTTCTGTACCTGTCTGACGTTGCGGATCCTCATCTAGTATCCTGTGTGCAGTAGAAATACAACCTCCACGGCTCGTCTGCAAAATGACAAGATCAGGGTCATCCCCCAGCAATGCTGGGGGTGGTCGGGCACCTGACAAAGCACGTGTGGAAGATCGCCCTTTCGGACGTCGATGACCATCTCGCTGTGCCGCACCTGCTGTGGGCGGTCGTGACGACGGTGCAACCATCATGCTGCCCCGTCGATCTGCAGCACACGACGACCCGGCACCAGGATGTCCAACCTATCTCCCTTCCGTACCCAGCCTGCTGCATCCGCAAACATCTTTGTCAACCTCCTCTCACGATCCCTCCTCTCACCCGTGACCCCAAGCATAGTGTCCTTGAGTTTGCGGGTGACCCTGCTTATGCCGCTCTATGATACGGACTTCCCCTTCACCGTCGATGAAGGTGATGGAGAACCCTGCACCTGCCCGCGCCCTCCTGCTGTCGCCGACACAGCAGAACCCTCTCCCCAACCAACACTCCCGCCCAAAAGGACCGACCGTTCGCCGACAACTGCGGGACCACCTCCCCTGCCCACAACACTGCCACCAGACTCACCTCCCCGTCCACTCACCGCCCATGCACATGCTGGTCGTGTCCCTGCAGCAACTGGCCCTGCTCCCCATGATACCCCTCCCGGCTCGATAACCCTCTGACCTGTCAACTGCTCGAACAAGTCGGCCATCTCCATAGTCTTCCCAATATCCCCCGATACCCCCGAGGGTGCTGGCGGACTAACAGGCACGAAAGAAGATGGAGGCACAGCCTTCCAAAGCCTCTTCGATATATGCCTGCTCCTGCCCATCACTGGATCAATCCCAGTAGTGTGGCGCTCGAGTGGGGACATGTTGGGCACGTGTGCCTCTACAGGGTGTGCAACAACGTCCCCAGGGTCCACTTATTGCTCCTCCTCGTTGCGATGTGCAACCATAGCATCCACCGCGACAAGACCATCCTGAGTGTGACCTGCGACCACATCCTCCATTGCGGCAACGGCAACGCCGACAAGTGCTCTATCCACCTGCCCCTCCACCTTCGTGCCATCGCACCCAAGCAACCCCCCTGCGTCTTTCGTGGTCGCGCCGTCGCCCCCGTCCGCCTCATCAGTAGTGGGTAGTACCGTGTCGCTGGCCCCACATAAACCACCCAACCCTACCCTCGCGTCCTCCTGGTGGTCGTCCGCACGATCCACCACGTGTCCCTCTGTGCAGAGTCCTCCACCATCTGCAACATCTGCAGGACCACCGTGTCTACACTCTGCTGCTAGTCTGGCGGCAGTGACCTCCTCTACACTACACCCCATCTCCCTCGCCCTGGTCGTGTCCTGCTCCAACGCAAGCCGCTGTGTCGTGGCACACCCCGACACCATCCGTGCCAAACGCTCCTCCTCAAGCACGTTCTCGGGGTCCATATGTAGCCTCCTGGCAACACGACCGATGTTGTCACCAGTCCTGCCCTCCTGTATCTCGCCTAACGCTCTGGCAGCCTCTGTCAACAAACCTAAACTAGCACCTCAAAAAACCGACCCTATGAGGTGTGCGACTTCGCTCACCGGTGTCTGAACACGCACCTCGCCGCGTCGAGCATCTGAAGTGGGTGGACGTCCAAGGTCGAAGCCGTCACTGAAAATCCCTGAGGGAATCGATCCCTGCGGTACCTCCAAACCAAATCCATGTCCGCCACTACCGCCCCCGCCCGCTGCACTGGGGCCAGGGTTAACAAGGAAGGCGCCACCCGCTCCGTCCTCAATCGGCCCACTGCCGTCACCGCCGTCGAATCCATGCTCGTCCCCATGTCCTCTGTCCTGGTCGGGTCCCTCTCTCTCGACGCCGGAGTCCTCGTCATCGGCAGCATCTCCGTCGTCAGACCTGTCTCCTCCCTCGTCCTCGCTCGACGATCGCATAACCTGTGTCTGCTTGCGCCCTCTATCCGTCGCACTCCTAGTCAAGGGAGGGGTCATGCGATCAACATCACAATGGCTCTGCCGATCCCGCGAACGCATATCACTGGCAGCCTCATGATCACTCTCTCCGCCGAACTCGTCACCAACATCAGGTGTGTCACTGCCTCTCTGCTCCAAGTCCTCCGGGTCCGTCCAGGGCTCTGGCTCCATCTCGTCTGCACCATGCAGGTCCGTAGGTGGATCGTACTCGATCTCCTCGTGGTACAGCTCAATATGAGCTGCACGACGACCAAACACAGTCTGAACTGCAGGGGGGTGGCGAACCGTCGAGGCACGCTGCATCCTGCGCGCCTGGCGCGCGATCTCCTCGTCCGTCAATGACCTCGGCGGCAGAGTACCTGATCTGCGCGGCTCCGGGACGTCGTCCAACCCCTCCTCAAGATCACCCCACGGCACAACAAGTCCCCTCCTCCTCTGTCTACACGCCAGGAGCTTCTTGTTCGTGCACATCTCCACCATTTCAGTCAGCTTCGTGAAGTCAAACCCGTTGCGGCGCTTCTCGTGGATACGCTCGTGCAACACCCAGTTCCTCTCCGCAGGAGAGGCGTAGAACCACGTGTACATCAGACGTGTGGTGATGGCACAAAGCTCAGGGGCACAGCTGCCGTGCAAAACCCACCAATCAGCAATGGCCTGTGTCTCATCCGGCCCCTCGCACGTGTCCTCGTCTCCAGTGCCTGCATCTCCACCCCAATCATACCTCGGCCCGCGTGCGTGGAAGTCGTACAACTGCTGACGGACCAACCTATACCTGTCTCCCTGCCGGTCAAAGCCCGTCTGTGTGTAGATGTACTCAAGCGTCATCTCCGCCACCTTCTTCCGCTGATCGCTGCGCCTCGGAGACTGGAAGTAAACGAAGTTCCGCCTCTTGGGATTGAGAAGATGGGCGGCAGCATGGGCGGGCTCGAGCAGATGGCATGCACGAGCGTAACAATCCTACAGCATGCCAACCAGGCGAGGTCTCGTCGACTCCAACTTCCGAATCTCCTCGGCAAACTGGGTCACCCACCGGAAGATGCAAGAGATCACCAAACCCCCCTGGTCCAACATCCTCAACAACTGCACGACCGGGGTGAAGACGTCGATGAGATCATCCATCTCCTCCCAAAACAGCCCGCATCGCACCTGTGTGCGCACCCACCCGGCCTGCCCGAGCAGCCTCCTCTCCCATGGAAGTCACGCCCAATCCCCCTCCAACATCATCGTCTCAACTGGAACCCTGCGGTCGCGCAACCTCTCCATCATGATGTACATTGACGCGAATCGCGTCTGGCAGGGGTACAACAACTCTCGGCTGCGTCGTGGTCTGCCTACTGTCCCCTCTCCGCCCGCGGCGCTGCCACCCAAACGGTCCGCATGTGCATCGCGATTCGCCCTCGCGCTGTAACTCCTGAACAACACGAGAGCCGATCTGTGACATCTAATGAATCGGACAACCGCCCTCGCCCTGGTCAACAAGTCGATGGCCCATGTTTTATCCTTGACCATGTCTGACAACATCAAGTTGCAGCAATGGACATAACAAGGGAGCCAAGGGATGCGACGGATATCTGGATCGGGATCGTTGCAAAGCACTCGACCGGTGGCGACATAAACTGATGCAGAGTCCGTGCAGATGGCATTGATGTTCCTCACGTCGAACTTCTCGAACACCTTCTTCTAGCGCTGCAAGACGACGTCTGACGTCTCTGCGTCAGTCCCTTCCCTGCGCACCGTCGTGAAAAGAAAGGCGCCCGACTGTCCTGCTGCGAGGAAGTTCACGATGGGCTCAGAGTTCAGGGACTTCCTCCCATCCGTGAGGATGGTAGCCCCTGTGTGCTGCATCTGCTCGCGTATGTCACATAGCTTATCAGCTATGTATGCACGCTCCTCCTGTATGCCACTGCCTGCTATGCGCTTGAACTGAAGCAAAGTAGGCTTCATGCCCCGGGGCATGTTTTGCAAATGTCTCGTGAGGACCCTGTACTCGGGCATCCTCGCCCTCTCAAATGGGACACCGCCAATATACCACCACTGCAGGAAGAGATGGTCGAAGGTGGTCTGCCACTCCAGGTCGTACATCTCATCCAGTCTGACCTGCTTCAAACGTTTCGGGTCCGGCACGCGTGCCGCAGGAGCGGTGTCCGCCCTCCTCTTCCCACGGCCATCCATAGGTGCACGAGTCCTTGTCTGATGAGCAGTGCGTCGTGCCTTCAATGATCCCCCCTGAAGGGACGCTCCTAACTCCTGAACATCGTCCTCACCGCCGTCCTCCGTCGGTCCCTCGCCCTCACCCTCCGCCCCTGTGTCCATCTCATCGTCCTCGTCGCCACAACGTCCTCCCTCGCTGTCCGCCCCCTCCCGGTCCAAAACATCCTGCACCTCGTCATCCTACGGCACTCCAACTCCCACCTCTCTGTTATTCCGGATGCCACGATACTCCATGTAATCCCGCACCTGTCTCTCTCGCCGCTGGTCGAAAGGGTACTGTGTGGTATTCCAAATGTCTACGAGGACCTCTGGTGTCACCTTGGGGCACCTACCCTTCGTGAAGTGCTCAGCATCCCGCGCCTGACTGCCCTGGAAAGGTGGTTTGTCGCAGAAGCGGCACTTCATCTTGAAGTTGCCCTTGCAACTCTCCAGTGTCTGACCCTTCATCAAGTACTTGAATATGTAGCACCGGCGAATAGCCTCGCGCTGGTCGTCGTCCTTGACCGGCACAAAGGCCTCCTTGGCGCCCTCCCCTTCCCCCTTTTTCCTTTTCCC